AACCTCCGCCCCGGGGGAGGGGGGCCCCCCCACAGCCGCAGCTTCGGCCGGGGAGCAGCGTCCGGCCGGCCGGCCGGGACAGGGCCAGGAGGTGGACCAGCCGTGTTTCCTATGGAAACCCCACCTACAGGAAAAGGGAGGATCGGGCTGGTACAATGCCTCAGCGGGGTGGGGGCTCGTGGGGCGGCACGCTTCCCAGCTGGGAGAGGGGCGTGGAAGCGCCCTCGGTTTCCAGCCTGCAGGGACCATCACGCCACTGCCTGCTGTCACCTGCAAAATGCATTTTACAGAAGGTGCGATTCCTGCAGCCAGTCCCTAACCCATCTGCAAAGCCTCACGCGTGCTTCAGGAAGACGTCTGCAAGGACCAGTGATGATTATGATGGACTTCTGCTCTTGCATTACCTCGAAGGCTCGTTCCCCACGCTGTTAGATTTCCGACTCACTCTGATTTATTTTCATTTTGTCTAAATCCGGCGTGTAATCCCTGCTCCTTGCTCTGCCTTTTGCTGCCGGTTTTGAGGGCGATGCGCCCGTGTCACCTTTTCCAACATATGGCTTTTGATTATGTCACTGCTCCATTTTCATCTGGACACATCAAAATGAGCTGATGAATCACTGGGAGAGTTGCCACGTCAAACACAGGCAGGTGGGCACACGGGAAGACAGGAGGCTCTGGCAGATGCGAGCTGTGTCCTGTCAGGCCTCTCCCCATCCCCTGCATCCGTCTGTCCTGCCCAGCTCCCCCGGCCTTGGCACATGCTCTATCCCCAGCTCAGCTCTTGCTTTGATTTCCCCGGCATCGCTCCTCGCCCAGCACTGATTTTGCACTACCAAATCCCCTCTTTGCCTTATTTCAGCGTCTTACCCCGAGCCCCCGCCTTCAAGCAGCCCCGCGTGAGGCTGCACAGCCGGACCACCCGCTCGCTGGCCAGCTGTGCACACACGTGTGCACGCACAGGTAGCAGAGCCTAAAGTTGTTTCATGTAGGCCTCCTAAGCAGGCAGGGGAGCGGGCAGCAGGCAGCGGGCTGCCTGCAGAGCCCAGTTACCCCAAGCTGGGCTGTACTTTGGGCCCCAAGGTGATTGAAGGCCTTCAGGACAGGGAAGGTCACTGCAGAATTTTCCTTGGCCGTTACGGAAAGCAAAGCGTCCTTGTGGTGTGGTTTGAGTCCCACCAGCCACATCGTCTTCATCTTGGCCCCTACGTCTACCAGGCAGCCTCCAGCAGCCCTGTAGCTGCCATTGGTGTCCTGTGCCTGCCTTGCCCCTCTCCTTCTGCCTTTCCAGCCTTGTGGGCACCCCCGTACCTCCCTCCTACTCCCACCTCTCCTCTCACAGCTCTGATTTTCCCAGCTGAGGCTCCCCATTGCCTGCCTCCCCTCCCAGTTCCTGGCTCTCATCCCTTGTCTTCTGTTATGGTAAATGTTAATGCCACAGTGAACAGCAAAAGCAAAACCACCCCAGCGCCAACCAGCTGTTTTGCCCCCGGGGGGACAGTTAGTGCCACGGCTCAGTGCACTGGGGGGAAAGGGCCGGTGCAGCTCGGCCACGGCAGGGGGTGGCAGAAGACCCGGTGCTATTCCTGGGCTCAGCCCCAGCTCCAGGTGACCTTTGCCAAGTCATTTCCCTGCTTTGTGCTCTCGCTTCCTCCTCAGCTGAGCGAGGCCGGCCCGCGGGCTCTCCCGGAGGGATGATCTCCCGCTCGCCGGCTGCCCGCAGAGCTGCGGATGTCTCCCAGCCTGTGCCCTGCTTTTGGGTGGGGGGGGGGGGGGGGAGGGTGCTTCCTCCCACCTCCCTTTTTTTATGCCTTTCCTTTTCAGGGATGGAGAGGAACAGAAGAACCACACTGAAATATCACCAAAGAAAGGAAATAAATATTATGCCTGAGAACTGCGGGGGTTCCCCAAAGAGCCCTGCAAGATGTACCCTTCTCCCCACTGCCTCCCAAGCCATCTGCAGAGCAAGCCAGCCTCAGCAAGTGCCCCACATTTAACCCACCACTGATGTGCCAGGAGATACGTTCCCCCCCGACCCCGCTTGGCACGGCCCCCATCCCACCGCCTGGAGGGAGGACACCCCTTTAGGCTGCTGCAGCTCCAAACCGCTCCTTTTGCTCCCCAAAGGCAGGGACGCAGATGGGATTTTGAGCACCAGTTTGCTCAGCCACCGCAGGGGAAGGATGATGTGAGAGTCCCAGCGCTGGGAGGAGAAGTCACAGCCACCGAGACAAGGGCTGTGACCCCCTCCTGAGCACTGTCCCCTCCCACCAGCTGTGCTGTCCCCAGGCTGGCAGTACAGATACCGGCACCGGTGACAGATCTGGACTGCCCAGGAGAAAAGGAGCTGGAGGAGCTAATGCATTAATTATTACAATGCTTCAGGAATAGATCCCTACAGCCTAGACCCGTGACCCTGAGCCATCAGGACATCGGCAGTTTGCAGGGAGGATGGCTGCAGGACGCTGCAAAAGCATTGCTGAGCTGCAGACCACGCCGGCTGCATCTTGGTGGAAGATGGGCAAAGCAATGCTAACAAAGAAAACAGAAAAGAAAAATGGGGTTGGGCTGAGACTTGCCAGAAGCCGAGGCAGTAAAATAAGATCTGGTGCTGAAACCAAAGCACGCCTCCTCCCATTTCCTGTTCACACACAGGCAGGCTCCAACGTGCAGGTGCTTCAAGACCTCCATGTTGTGTCCATGAACATAAAGTTTCCCCCCTAGGAGCCTGGCTGCACCTAAACCCTGTCATTTAAAGCTCAGAACGAGCAGCAGTTACATTCAATTATTGCAGTAGTATTCTTCAGCTTCTGCATGATGTTATTAGTGCGCAAAGCAGATGCAAATGCTATTTACTGGTGTGAAAATCTGGCTCCTCTGAACTCAGCTTCTCTCCAGGCTCCAGAGCAAGGCACGGACGCAGGGGACACCCCAACCTCCCAGGGGTGCAGAGCTGTACTCGAGGCAACACACGCTTGCCATCCATCACACAGCAGAGAGCAGCCTGACCACATTATTTGGAGCTCCGCTGCACAGCTGGAGGTCTTCAAATTTTGTTTGTCATTTCGGGTTGGTTTGGTGTTAGCTGGAAACCACAAGCTGTGCCGCACATCGCCGGCAGGGTGCACAGGGCCACATAAAAATGAGAAGGGAAGAGAAATTTTTTTTCAAATCTAATAATGAAAAACAACATCAAAAGGAGAAGAGTTCGAAGTGAGCACGACTAAAGACATACCAAGGTTTGGCCTCATTAGGGTGCTCGGGGCTTACCATGTCCTGTGGGCCATTCAGGGAAGCAGGACTTGGTCTCACCTCGGCTCGACGTCTGCCCCACGGAGCGGGAAATGGTGTCTGAGGGTCAGGACACAGAGGCCATAGACAACAGGACGCACCCCGAGGGGGGACGCTCTCTTCCAGGCTCAGCTCCGTACCCCAGAGCACCATCCTCAGCAGGAGGACGGCTGCAAATCTAGATGGAGCAAGTAAAAGCATGGCTGCTTCTCACCAGCCGGTGCCCTTACACCAGCGATCATGCTTTTTTTTCCCCTCAACTGTCCCAATTTTCAGCCCTTCGAAGACAGGCTTTGCTTCTCCAGAAGCGTCACTCCCTTTTCAGCAGAAAAAAATATGTTTTCTTAATCCATCTCTGCGCATTAGATGTTTTAGGAGCTGGGTGCAGATGCACAAGGTGGCCCAGGACCTGCCCCATCCTCAGCTGCCTGCAGGGATTGGGGAGGCTCTTGGGGGACCGTTCTCAGGAGGAAGGAGGTGATTCACCCTCTCACACCAAACAGCAAGTACACAAATCTGCAAGAGGCGGATGGACCTTCTCTCAGGGGGCCCCGGCTCTCCCTGTGCTCGTCTTCTCCATAAAATCAGAAGGCGACACTGGCCGAAGGTGACCTCCACGTGCCACCTGGTCCAGCCTCCCACCCCAGTCAGGTCCCTTTTGGGCTGGGTTGCTCAGGACCTCGTCTTTCATCACGGTGAAGACTTCTCCATATCTCCTCACAACCTCCTCCAGCGATGCCTTCCTTGCACCTGGGAG